GACTTGGTGGCCGTAGTAGTGGTGGGAGAGGCATCCCACATGGCCCTCGAAGCTGGGGTGGCTCGCAATGCAGCTGGAGCTGGTGTAGCCTCACGAGACCAAACCAAACAAAAACACGCTTCCAACAGTGCTCCATACGGGGTCGAGATAAGGGATCCCACCAATTTGATGGGTTTCCGTTTCGATCCCCTTTTGAACCACTCGAAAAGGTGTACCCTCAGGGTCTTTGATCCCCGAGGGTCCAGGAGCCACCTGGCAAATAGAACCTATCCGTTGAGGATATGTCCAAGACCGCAGTGCAATTAGCACTGACTGCCGGAAATGCCGACCCATGCTGCGGATGGAAAATCCATTTGGCACCAGTTGGTAGGTGTATGTATTCATGGTGCTTGCAAGATTTTGTCCCTCAGTATGAGTGTGTTTGTTGAGAGTGCCCTTTTTAGATTGGTCTCAAGGGACACCAAAGGCAAAGTCTCCACTTTGGGCGCATGCGTCGGGTCCTTTGGTTTCCCTTGCCAATGTCGCTCATAGAACCGGATCCCTCAACCACAAGACCATACTCGGGGTGGGTGGGTGGGCGGGGATTCCGAACATAGCCTGGGCAAATAGCCCTCGGCGTGCGGCTTCCTTTAGGGATCTTCAAAACAACGCTGCTTGTTGAAACCTTACTCATTCCAAGCACCAAGTCAATACTCTTTCATGGCAGCTCTGGCAGTGGCTACTCAGTTGATTTTGACGGTTCTAAGTTCTTAAAGAAATGACTGCCTGAGTGGCTTGTGCAGGATTGCTGCCTTCACTCGCGGTTGGCAATGGGACAGCCAGGTGTTGCTTTCGTGACACGCCATGCTTTTGGTATCCGCCCCACACAATACTTGGTCGGGATGTTTCATTGTTTCATTGAGCGCCGCATCCCCCCCCCTTCCCAAAACCTTTTGTGACCCAAACAAAATTCACAGTTGATTGATCTGACCTGATAGCATCTGATCTCAGTGCAAGTTCGTCCCCATGATCTCAAGACTCTTCTGGATCGTTCGAAGCTTGAACACCCCAAGAACAGCTGGGTCAAGAGATGCGACGCGGACTTTGTCCGCCTACATTATCACTATGTCTCCCCACGTCATTCGTCGCACAACTTTCCTCTTGTCGGGAGCTTTCAGCCTGCACGGCCATCGGGGTCTCCGAGAGGGGCCCAACATTTTTGGTTTGCCTACTCAACATTTCCCAACCTGCGGCTGGCCGTCCCCTCTGCCTTCGCTTGGCTTCAACCCAAGCCTCCACCTTGCAGGAAGAATATCTTCATCTAGTCTTCCCCATGGGCAAAAACAGTGTTTTCAAGGTGGGCCCCAGACATGGGGTTCTTTCCTTTAAACGCTATTTGAAGAGGGGGACCCCCTTTCTTAGCGTCACGCTTTTCAAGGTCCAAGCAACAGTTCCAAGGCATCTTCTTCACATGGCCCACATCCACCATCGCTTCTATGATGTAGCCCTGGTGGGAGTCTGCGCCAACCTTCGGTGTGGCTCGATGGGGTAGTGGGCCATGGGTCAAATCCAAATCGGTTAGCCCCCAGTGAACTTCCCAATCCAACCACTCAAATAGGTTCTAAAATGGGTGGTGAATTCACCGACCCCAAAATGGGATCCCATTGGCTTTGACCCACAGCCATATTTGTGCATGCATTTACATCTTTGAAACAAATTGGGGGGGGGGTTCGTGTTTTTTGAGGGTACCCTTCTTGGGGTGGTTTGAAAGGGAACGCCAAGAGAACCCCCCCCCCCGCCCTATTTTTGGCACACACTCGTATACTTGTTGAGCACAGGCAACCAGCCGGCCCTAGATCTCAAAGTCTTGGAAGCACTCACTCGCGCCAGCTTAACCCCAAGCATCCCTTGAAGAGCGCAAAAGGACCAGTCCATAGATTGGGTGACTCGTTGTCCCCATTTGGGTAGGATGCTTGACACATGATTTGCACCCGTGCAAAAGGAACCCATCTACACGGGTTTTCATGGATCTGGGGCAGGTCAAGGGGTTGTGTTTGGTGCTTGCGGTGCTTGCATTGCAAACCCATCGTGTGGCTGGAACCCATGCCACTAAGCAATACTAAACAATGCCAACAATGAACCGGCAAACCAGTTTATCGAAACAATAGTGGGCTTCAAGTCCACCTGTCCTCAAACCTTTCACTTAGAGTAGTCCTGGATCTTTCAAGCTTGTCCCCTGGAAACCCAACGGACCTGCCCTAAGAACCTCTCTGCCCACAGGCCTTCCCCCAACACCCTTGGAAACTCGAAACTCGGCGTACGAGCGGTGATGCGACTTGCCAAGACGCCGCTTTCCACTTTGTCTCCTGCCAGAGGGCTCAACCAGGGTTTCGAGCTAGTTTCTTTGTTGGGCCAGGCCGGTCACCAGAAATCAGCATTACCGGTTTTGTTGTTTTGTTCACTTGGGATGTCCCACGTGAAGGGAGTCACAACAGGAAGCCAGCTATAAAGGGCACCCCATTTCTGAACCCCCCCCTCCCTCCCAGAGTAAGGCCACAGGGACAGAAAAGTATTGCAAGGCAGGCTCAGATTCCCGCTAGAATCAATGATGTCCCTGTAGTGTTCGATGTACGACATGCACCAACCATTTCCAGCCTTTTTTTTCCCCAATTGCCAAGCTGAAAAAGGAAGCTTCCCTCCCGCTCCTGAACACCAGCATGGAGCGAAAGTGGAGCGAAAGCAACGACAGCTTCAAGACCAGCATGTGAGTATGTGTCAACATAGGGTACCCGAACAAAACGGCTGGTTGCCTTTTGGTTTCCCTTTGGGCGAAGCTCGACACTTGCCTGCGCGGAGTTGCCAAAGTAGATGGCGCCCCCACACCAGCCAGAGTGTCCTGGCGGGCCACGAAATCAGGAAGCTTTGCCGCCCGAAATCGAACAGCTATCATTTATACAAGTCCCTTTGCCAGGCGACTATCATGCGACGACGCATGATAGTCGCCTGGCAAAGGGACTTGTTATGCCATCTTACTTGGCCAAAGACTCACGGCAAAGGGGCCGGACATGAACTTTCTGGCAAGCTACGCACAAAGACGAAACCTCAAAAACTAGACCCAGCCTTACAAATTGCTCATTAACTGGTTGGGTGTAATTACTGTAGACATACTTCCCTGAATAACTGGCCATGCTGGTGTGGCACAAATCGGGATTTGTTTGGTGACATGTGATAGAGAGGTGTCACGGGCTTGGACATGGGCGTAAATGGGCAGGGGATGAGCAGGGGACGGGCCTCAATGATGGGGATGGATACTGCAGAATGGACGAAGGGATGAATTGATGGATGAAGGGATGGATTGGAAGCTGGCTTGGATGCTCAAGCCAGCGCTTCCTCTCAGAATGCCCAAGAGAACAATTTGAAGCTGAAGCAAATGAGCTCTTCCACAGCCTGAAAAGACCCGAAGTAGTGATGCCCCAATTCCACTGGGTGTCAAGTTGCGGGGTGGGGGAAAATGCCACGAACGCACGGGAAGGGAAATACGTATTTTGTGGCCCGTTTCTCGCAGTCTGGCTTTGGCGCCTGAGCGGAAGCCATTCTTCAAGATCTGGGGGCCGATGTCTGGGCTTGTGGCCTGAGCGAGGCGCTTCCTTCCGGCTTGGCTCAGAAAGGAAAGCAGCGATCATCGCCGGGAATCCCAACTAAAACATCTGCCCGCATGAAGGAAACTGCGTAGATGACACGCAAGCTCAGCAAGGTAGCAGGACTTGCAGCATGCACCAGGCTCAAAGGAGCACACAGGCTATTTTCTTTTGGCACCATTCAGCGGCGGTCGCCCCATACTTCTCAGAAACAGCCAAAAGGCGCAAACTCTACCCGTCGCCTACCAAATCTCGAACATTCTCCAAATCTTTCAAGCGCTCCACATTTGGTGGGAAACCTACGGCCATCTATCGCATTCAAATAGCCCCTCTGGTTTGAAGGGGGTCCTTCTGACACAAACCCTCTATGATTCAAGCTGCACCCTTGTGTCGCACTGTGGCTTGGCCCAATCTCGGCTGGCTTCTCTTCGCTCAGAAACCTTTATGAGCAAGGGAACACCCCGAACCTGGCATACTCCTGGATGCTGCAATTGCATGGTGGATCAATTCGAGGCTTGGCAGAAATGCCTGACATCCTGTTAATTCGGCCAGGGGGATGCACAACGGAGGTAAAGCCACCACACCACAGAGGCCGCTACTTCCTCAACGCCCTGTCCAAACTTGAGCCCTGCTTTTGCTAGTGAGACGGAGAATCAGCAGAGCGGACACACTTCCACGCACAGCGGCTCCATTCTGAAGACACACTTCTAGGTCCTCCAGTAGAGAGGTTAGAATAAGGGTACCTTTTTTATGTCGTCTATTTTAGTAGGGGAACCCTCTCAACCAAAGAAGAAACGGTAAGAGAGGGCACCTAGCTAGGGGACCTAGACTTGCGGGAGGTTCGAACAAAGATATATCAGGTAACCTCGAAAAACAACAAATAAACCAGCCCTTGAAGCAGCAAGAGGTGGGTCAGGTACCCTTGGAAAACCAGCCCTTGAAGCATTCCAAGCGGTGCCAAGAGGCATGGTAGAGCTTCCAGAGTTTCCCCGTCTGGTTCAGCTCTACCGCGATGGCTGCGCTCTCGTTCTCAGCGGCTTGATGTCTCTCTCTCTCTCTGCGGGGCGCCCCGTAAATCGCGCCCCGTGCCTTTTCTCGGTTACGAAATCTGCGGGGCGCCCTGCTAAAAGTGAGTTTAACTTTTAGTGGTTTAATTCGGAACCCCCACTAGGTGGCCAAAAGTCAAAGTCCTAACATCCAAGCAAAACGCACCAAAGCTCTGTTTGCTATCAAATTTCAACCGCCACTTGGGGGCCACTTCAGTTGGGCTTTTGTTTTCCGCATTTCAATCATTCAAGGGGGCTCCTCATGCCAGAGCTCAATATGATCACAGGCTCTGTGTGTGTGTGTGTGGCTCTGTTAACACCCAGACTTCTGTTGCCAAACACAAAGTGCTGGAACAGGGTTTCCCCCTGTGCAAAAGGTCCTGGCTTGAAGGCCCCTCAAATCTTTGCTCTCAAAGGTAGACCAACAGCCTGGAGATGAGTCGATCATTGGGCAACTTGTTTGAATGCTTGCTCAATGGGAATTCAATACATGCCTTCTTGAAGCCCACAGCTCCCCACGGCCCTGACTCTACACCCAGTGAATCGCTTGCACGCGAAATCAGAAAATGGCCGGCGATCAAGCGACGGCCGGCCCAAATGCAAGCCCCCACGTCTACGCACATTGCAAATCAACCAACTGAAAAAATGGATGGGGAAGCCTGGCCGAAATGGATGCCTTTGGATATCAGCCATGGCGCAAACTTGTGTTTATTTTAGATCAAACACACTAAAGTGGAATTCGGAGCAATTTGACATTGGCTGGATGTGCGCTGGTACATATAGTGAGCAAGCATCCGTGACTACCTCCCAATCACCCGCGTCAATGTGTCTAACATTAAACAAGTTTAGATGTGAATTCAGGACCGCAAAACACAGGGCTCCCTTGTTTCATTGAAGCACCATCCCAAAGAAGGTACCCTCATTTCTCGAACACCTGCGAGGTTTGACCAAACCCAAGCGGCCAGAGACGCTGCCATGTCCTCGTTGCTGTCCACACCTGCCACCGGCCAACTGACAAAAGGAGGCCTCGCTGCACTGACTTCATCCGGCTTCAACCAACACCGTCTATCTTTTAGACATGTTTGAATGTCAATACATTTGAGTGGTTGCCAGATGTCCTATCTGCACAACACGACGGAATCCGTTCAAACAAGTGAACAACCTATAGATAAATATATACGTATATATATATATACACAGACTGACATACAGTTGAGGTTCAAAGTTGGCATAGTACCACTGCCCTAGCACAATACAATGTGCTGTAGCCGCCTACTATAAAATTTGCGAGGGGCACTAACGTGCAACTTCTGGCAGTGTCACCACTACATACGCCTCAGCGGCTCTTCTAGGGAGGCTCTATCTCGCTCGGCCACGTGGCCTTTCGTTTTTCCGCACGAATAGTCTAAGCGCCAGAAATGTTCATGGTGTCCGGCACACGACCCAAACAAACGAAAACGGGCACCATCCTTGCACACGTTGGACGCTCCAAAGCAGATGCGAAAGCATCAACTCCGAACTCCGGGCCTTCCTGACTCCGAACTTGCAGTGCGTTCAGTGCACATTGACCCGAAGCGCACTCATCGTCCGAAGGGAGCGCCGCCAGGTCGGCCTGAACGACTAGATCGCTGTTAGCCAAGACTCCAAGACCTGCCAAGGCCTGTTAAGATCAAGGACTTGTATTTTTCCCAAAATGGTGGCTTTCGTCTTGGTTTCCCTTTGAAACCCACGCAAAAAGGGGCACCCTGTGACTCAAAGAAGACACTCCCAGCTGCTCTTCGAACAAGTGGACGAAACAATCGCGCTCTGCGTGGCTTCATCCACCAACTGTATGCCCCTCCTTAAAACGCCATAGCACCTGCACATTTTCGCTTTTCAAGCATCAGCTGGTGAGTCTTACATTTTCCTTTCTGCTCGCAAACTGTTTTTAAGAGTCAGGGGACTGAACCGTGACTCCAGGCTGTCGGCAGCGCAAGTGGCATTCCTGGTTTCAACATGGAAATCAAACGTGACAATTGCTCCGGAACCAAGCAAGGAAACTGACATGGACCAATGATTGGGGACGCTTAAACGTCTCAAAGCCAATCGCTGAGCTGTCTCCGGATGAGATACGTTCATGCAAAAAGCATTCTGGGGACTATCTGAGACTTGGACCTTTGGAGCTATTGCTTTTCCCGGTGCGGCCAAACTATGGAGGTTGATCAAAAGGTCATTTACATGGGATGACCATTGGGGAAAACCACCAAACAAATGATATTTCTCACCAAAAAGGTACAGTTACCCATGGTCATTTGAGGGCCAGGAATACTGATCAACCCCCATATGTAGTCACTCGAAACATGAGACATGCTATGTGAGTCCCCGTTGTGGGACATTGAGGAATTGTCTCCCTCCAAATTGATGCAAGACCAAGCCTCAGATGTTGCAAGTCAATGAGCCACAAAATGCAAAAGGAAACCTGTCTCCTTACTTCCAAAAAGGGGGGGTCCACCCATCTTTCGGAGTGCTCGCGCCTGCACCACCACTGCCAAAAAACCCAAAGAAAGCCTCAGCTTGTCGACTTCTGGCACCGTCCAGGTGGGTGTGTCCCAGGGCACCGTGCAGGTGGCTTTCCTTTTGGTGTCCCTTCAAGGGGGTCCCGATAACGGGTGTCCAGAAAAGGGACAAGCCCAGGTGTCACAGGAAAGTTGCTCACGGCGTAACGCAGAACTTTGGGAGAGGCTCGGCACTTGGAGAGCGGTACCAAAATTGCTGCGCCCCCGCCATTTTCACGACAAAGGCAGCCGAGTTGCGCTTTGAGCATCTCCCAGTAAGTCAGCTTCTTGCAGTCTTGAGCT